GCTCGTGGTATCTTTTTTTTTTGGGTGAGGCAGGGCTGCTGAGAGCTTGAGATTCAGCAGAGCGTTTAGGAATATGTCTGTATCTCTCTCTGCTTTGCACAGATTTGATTGAAATAGTTTGCTGAAGTCACTGAAAGCCATTGGCGTTGCAAAGTGGCTGCCTAAGTGCTTTCTTGAACTGGATCCCAAATAGAGGAAAGGCCGTCGCCTTGCAATTAGTACACTGGAAGGGGGTTGGGGAAGTTTATCTTATATCCTGGTCCTAAGACAGACAAGCAGTGTGGTACAGCGTGAGCCACCGCAATGCTGCCTTCTGTGGAGGAGATGGAGATGGCAAAGCCTCCTTCCATGGGGATTGGATGCCTTGAGCTTTTCCTTGGGCACCGTGGTCCCCAGGACACTCAGGCAGACAATGTGTTGCCAGAAGATGACCAGACACCACCCAGGGAGATTCTGCTGTCCTGACTCACACTGTATGCTCTGATTAGCAGCAAGACAGCGCTGTGGGCTCACCCTGTCATAAGGTCTTGTTTGCCATACGTTGGAGCCTGGAGAGAACAGCGTGTTCATTTTTCTCCATACTTGATATCTGTACAGCTATTATTTTTGCTGGCCAAAGTCCATCTTCCCCAACAGCTCCTGGAACCCAGCAGTGTTTCTGTTTGTGAGGCACATGAAAGAGAAGGCTTTTGCTTTGTGGGCAGCATCTCCTAATAAAACAGTGTGTGAGATGGCTTAAAGCAGAACAAAAATACAGCTGCTGCCTATTAATCTGTATTCCCTTTATTTCTCTTTCTAGGTGTTGAGCTGTCCTGCATCATTAAATCAACCGTAACACCGGATCCCAGAATCGAGTGGAAGAAAATTCGAGATGGGGAAACCTCTTATGTATTTTTTGACAATAAAATGCAGGGTATGAAGACTCTTTGTCCTCTTAAGACTTCCAAACAGCCTCAGCAACAGACAGAGCTGAGAACAGAAAAGTCTGTAAGAGGAAGGACCTCTGGCTGTCCTGCTGCTTTCTTCTGGAACTAGAGCTCAGCAGTCAAAGCACAGAGTGGAAGGAGAGCAGGATGTTCTTTGCCCTCTGGCAGGTCATTGCTGGTTGCTCTCAGTAGGGAGCCCCAGAGCTGGAGGGAGATCCTGTGTAGGAGATGAGCATGAAAGTCAATACTGCAGTTTCCCTTCTCCAGAACTTGCTCCTTGCATGGTCATTGCATGTCTGGGCTCTCGGGACCAAATGCTGACCTCTGCAATCTTTCCATATGAAATACAACTGGAACTACTCCTAGATAGTGGTCACTTTAAATGGGACCAACAGCCACATCCAGAGGAACCTTCCAAAAGATCTGAGGCTGATGTGGATGTCCACTTTTGCCAATTTTGGAGTTTTGGGGTGGTGCTTCACAGTTCATTCTCTTACAAGCTTAGCAGCACTGGTTTCCTTTCTGGTCATGCAGAGAGAAAGACTCTTAACATTACAGAGCATCAAATTCCTTTTGGTGGTTCTCAGGCCTCCAGGGTCAACCACTTTATTCAGATGTTCAAAGTTACTTTGTGTGACTCTCCTGACATTTTTCTCTCTCCTTCCTCTCTATCAGGCGACTTTGCAACTCGGGCAGAAATTCTGAGCCGGACATCACTGGTGATTAAAAACACCACCCGGATGGACACGGCCACGTACCGCTGTGAAGTGGCAGCACCTTCTGATACCAAAACCATAGATGAGATAAATATCCAGCTTACAGTCCAAGGTACTGCTTCAGGTCCAGCTATCTTTGCAAGCACTGAGGCCGTGGGTCTCTCTCAGAGTTGTAACTGGCACTCAGCAGAGTCTTGATGCTTAAAACCATCTGGAAATAGCTGGAGGTGTTGGTGCCTTTGTAGCACAGCCACCTTACAAAGCATGCCAAAGTCATTTGGTTGTGCTCAGCGCTATCATTCACATGGCTTGTGTCTTTCCCACAGTGAAACCTGTGACTCCGAGATGCACAGTGCCTAAAGCTGTACCTGTGGGTAAGACAGCCTCCCTCCACTGCCACGAGAATGAAGGTTACCCCAAGTCTACGTACAGCTGGTATCGCAACAGCGAACCTTTATCACCAGACGCCAAATCAAATGCCAAATTCCACAATTCATCCTACAGCTTGAATCCCACCACAGGCACTCTGGTAATGTCCTTGTGGATGTAATCAAGACTTGTGTTGCAGGGCAGGTTAATTTTAGAGTGGCTCAGAAAAGAAAAAGGTCATTGCATGGCTTTCTAGGAAGGGATAGTTGGAAGGTTTGCTGTTCTGGGATCTGAATGACTTTGGAAAGGGAAGATGAATATGACAAAATGCTACCCTAGCTGTTTGCTTGTGGTCCACTTGCATCTTTAGAAAGAGGGAAGGAGAACATCTCATGGCCCACAGCAAAGAGCCGCTCCCTCCTGCGGCTGTTCTGCAGAAGCAGAGAATTCCCTCTCTGAAATAATCTTTTCCTTGTGTGAATCCCCACAGCAGCTCTGGCCCTGCTTTCTAACACGTGAGAAATAACCCTTACACATTCAGCATGTTAAATAACCCTTCGCCTTCCCTCCTCCCCAGGTTTTTCATGCTGTGCACAAAGGTGACACGGGCCGTTACTCCTGCATTGCAACAAACGATGCTGGCTTTGCCAAGTGTGAGGAGCAGGAGATGGAAGTCTGTGAGTGGCTCTACGTAATTGTTGGCAATGTTAATTAATATTTCACTGTAAATAAACCACCATCACCATGGGGAGGGAAGGGGGGCATCCTAGAGTGTCTTTCTAGCCCCAGACACAGCTGACTTATCCAGGAAGGTATCAGGACCAGGTTTTTACATGGCATTTTCAAAGCCAAATAGCATTGAAGGAGAAAAACTTGCAGTACTGCTGTACAGCCCACTCTTCACAACCCAAAGAGGTTCCAAAAGTATTTTAGTATCTAGAGGATGGTACAAAGAGATCCAAACTATCCAAGGAAGAGTCAGTCTTTAACTATTAGCAATCACTGAAAGATGTGGTTGGACCTGGTACACACAGGGCAATAGAGGAGGAAAGTTTGTTAGTTTTCCCTTTTTTGTTAGAAGAGAAAAGCAGCTCTCTGTGCTGTGGAAGGAGTCTGAGTCCTTCCAGAGTGGAAATAATTCATAATTCTTAGGAACTTTTGCAGTTTGCATTGGACACGTATGAAATGTCATTTTAGCAGAGGCAGAATATTGTCACTGCCTTAAGAAAATTGCTGGATTATGGTTTCTGTCTTTGTCAGATGACCTCAACATTGGTGGGATAATTGGTGGAGTGCTGGTGGTCGTGGCAGTGTTGGTGCTCATCACTCTCGGAATCTGCTGTGCTTACAGGAGAGGCTACTTTGCAAACAGTAAAGAGAATGGGGAAAGGTAAGCTGGGATCCAGTGTTCCCATTGCCATCTCACTGTACATATTTCAGTGCTTGACTTGATAGATTTCTTTAGTTCCCTACCAAAGACTTCAGTTCTCAAAGTATTCAGTTCCCCACCATAAGCACCGCACCAAAGGTTTCTTTGCCTCAGGGAGAATGTTGGCATCATTCCTTCTGTGCTCACTACCAGGACCAGACAGGGGAACGAGAGCTGTATTTTAATATCCTCATATTTTTCACAGTAAGAGGGGACCAACACAATTAAATAGCAGTAGGTGTTTGTCCAACAGGTAATGTGCTGTCGGCATACAGAGGTCTACAACTTAGCAAGCAGAGCTCGTTGCACAATTAGCTTAAGGCATCAGGAGATGCATAGCAAATATATGCCAAAGAGTAGGCTCTCTGCAGGAAATCTTGCTAGCTGTGACTCGGAACCTAAATTTGGGATTAAAAACAAGCCTTCTAGAAGGCACATTAGAACATTAAAAACAACAGCATTAGCACTTGAAGGTGGGAATTTCTCACAGATCAGAAACAAGCCTCGATGTTCCTGCAGAATCTGCAGAAGAGATAATGTATGTAAATAGCAAGATTCTCACCAGATAGATTTATTCCATGTTCAGTGTTGTGAGGTTTCTCTCCGCTTTCTGTTCACTGGACCGCTCTTCCTAGTTTTCTTCTTTCTCAGCACCTCCTCTCAAATCCTGCAATCTCCTTGTCCCAGAAATAAGATCTTTTCCTTTATTTCAGCTACAAGACTCCAGCAAAACCTGATGGTGTTAACTATATCCGGACAGATGATGAGGTAACAAATGATTTGCATTTAACATCTCTATGCTTTAGAGAGGAAGAGGGTGGGCAGAGCTCTACCAGGGTGTTTTTTTTTTTTTTAGGGCCTATAGACTTTCTAAGAGCAAACACCACTGAGAAACAAGGATTTAGAACAGGGAGAAAACAGAAGGGTAAAGGCTGAGTCATTTCCTGAAATGATGAACAGTTTAAGTTGCCTGAAGCAACCGATGCCAAAAGCTATAAGACAAAGCTCTGCTCTGTCTCGGTTCTCTTACAGCTTGACCCCCCTTAGGATGAGTTTCGTTGGATTAAATGGGCATGCTGTGATACTTTTACAAGAGAATTTGCATTCTGGGATTTGATTAGATTCACTCAGCTTAAGATGAGAAAAAAGCCTCTCCCTATTAGCAGAGATAGGAGGGGGAATGAGGAAGCACTGTGCCACACCTTGGTATGGGAGGAGAGAGGGGGCACCCAACTGGTATAACTGGTGCCTCCTCCTCCTCACCTGCTGGCTGCAGTGCTCAGTGATCCCACTGGGATCTGCCTTTTGTGGGCAGCAGGAAATAAGGGGTGCCCGGACTGCTACCACATCCATCCCACACCCAGAATTGTTTTGTTGCAGGGCGACTTCAGGCACAAGTCTTCATTTGTCATATAAGATGCCAAAAGAATATTGCAAACCAGCAAAAGCAAGTGTGAAAATACCTCCTCCAGGAACTCGAAGCGAGAGCAAAAGATGAATTAAGTGCGCTTGGAAGAGTTTGGAACACACAAGAACTTGATAGCTAGCTATCTGTATATCTTTTTTTTTTTCTTTGCCAAAGTTTAAAGCAACTCCTCACTGCCCAACTTGCGTCTCCCCTGCCTTCAGGGACACCAACAGGATCCCCTAAACCTGTCCTTGGAGTAAGGAAGATAAATACTTCCCAAGAGACTGTGCTGTGGAAGTCTGTGGAATTGCCTTCTCTTTGTGCTGCAGGGACACAGCCTCAGTGTGCAAACCAACCAGGGAGCAGCGTTATGTAGACATTACTAGTCTGAGTTACTAGTAGGAAAAAAGGTGCTGATACAGCAGTAGGACTGCAAAGAATAAGTGTTACCCATTTATCTATACAAGGGGGAAGTCCTCCTCGCAGCAGTTTGTTGCCCAGGCTGTGACTTGTGATTATTTTGTGCTTTTGACTATGACTTTTCAGGTGCAGAATGGGCACCTGACTAGTTGAGAGGCACACATAGAGCAAACACAACTAATGTTCTCAGCTCTTCTGTCAACTTATTGCTCTGTTTAACAAGAAACGCAGGCAGCATCAGGCTGAAGGACTGCTGCTGCTCACTGCTTTACAGAAGACTCACTGCACGCAGGTAACCCCTCATTCTAATCTGCACAAAGCAGGCTTCCCTCTTGCGTCTTTTGGTGCATTAAAGAGGCTTACAGTGGAGGCACAGAACCCAGTGCTAAGTCGTCCCTTTCAGGAAAATCAAAGCCAAATATTTCTGCGGGCCCAGAGTCCCAGAAAAGGTACTGAGATGTTTTCAAGCTTTTTTTTTTTTTTACCTTCTCCCTTTCTTTTGTAAAATCCCACATTCTAAATTTTTTGCAAAGATATATTTTGATTACTTCAGAAAAGGTAACGTTTCTATTTAAAGTGTAAATACGTGATGCCAGCAGTGTTTAAGTAACGTGGCTATTTTTTTACTTTCTAAGCTACAGAGGAGAGCTCAAACGTTGCTATGGTATGGCACTGTCAGAGCATATCAGCATTACTGCAGAGTGTAACACAAACCTGCAGGTAGAACAGCATCTCTTTCCTCTTAAGCTACCCTCAGCAATTTCCTTGTCACATGAGGTCTTACAAGACACAGAACAGAGTCACTCAGGGATAGTTTTTGTAAATTTATGGCAGGACCTATCAACTTTTTTATACATTGAACTTTTCTTGCCAGTGACCAACACTTTTGTTTTTGTTGTTGCAAGAAATATCCAGGGATGGCTTTTTTGGATTCAGTTCCAACAAGGTGACAGAGTGACTTTACTGTTTGCTCCCCCTCTGCAAATTCCCTGAAGCACTAACGTGGTGATGTGACAGCTATGGCAACGTTACAGGTTTAGATGGCATAGCCAAGCAACTGTTTCTGGAGTTGGGAAAGCAAAAGGTCAACACAGAAGCACTTTTGTAGTGTCAGTTGCAACTTTTCTTTAGATGGTAAAAGGAAAAAAAAACAAATAAAAAAAGAAATGTGGTTCTCTTTGCATTAAAGAGAATAAATGGAAACTCGTGTTGATGCATGAGTTGATAGCGTTGAAAAGCAGTGGGTTGCCTAAAACTGCAAGATGTGGATGCAACACTAGAACTGTGCTGTGGTTTAAGAATTTTTTTTTAAATGTAGCATAATTTAGTATTCTTGTATTTCCGATATGGATTGTCTTAACTTTTCATGTAGACAGTATTTTGAATACTTGATGATTTGGACTGTCAGTGTTATTTTTTAGCGTTCTGCATTCATCTGCTTTGTTTGCTAGGGGCCTCGCTGGACATGCCATTGCTGCATTTGTTTTACCTACATTAAACATTACCACTTTTCCTTTTGCTAATGAAAGCAAAACTAAAGCTAGGGCAGCAATTTCTTTCCATAACCAAGATGTGACCCTGGCTACTTTTCAACTCATTCTGGCAACCTTCTTTAGATGGGCACACAGTGGCATCCACCAGCTGCATGCTGCCTCTCATCATTACAACAGCAGTGAGCATAACATTCCTTTGCACTTTCTGTATATCCACTATTCTGTGCTGCTTGTAGGATACTCTTAATAAGGAAGAGAAGGTAAATGGTTGAGCCGGGGTAGCTCTGGGAGTACAATCTACAGTTTTGCTATGAGCCAAAGGCAGCCTTCATGGGGGAAGCCTGCAAACTAAGAATCACAACTTAGCTTTCATTGTGACAGTGGCATCTCTAACGAGAGGAGGGGAGATGATCCCCCAGCACAGCTCTGAGATCTGATGGATGGAACTTGTTGTATCATTGTGAATAATTTTTAGGTTTGTACTAATGTATGACGTTTAACTTTGCAAGAATGTTTTACATAAATACCGAGCTCTAAAGCGTTCTTGTGGGTTTTTCTTTGTTTGTTTTTAGAAGAAATAATCTAATTGCTGGCTTCTGCTTTGAATTCAGTGGAAGAGAAGTGTTTTCTCTTAGAGCACTCACTTGAGTTGGGCTGCAGGAAGTCCAAGGCACATTACTGGTCATCAGTTCATGGTCGTTGGCTCTTTCTGTAGGAGACTGATCAGAGCTCACAGGGCTGATCTTCATGCTGCTCTGGGACAGAGCAAAAGCTACAAAGCACAAATTAGGAAATAAAATTGGAATTTGAATAAGATAATATGTAAAGCAGTTAAGTAATGCTTTAATGGAGGGGAACAAAAAAAATAAACACTGCCATAATTAACCATTGCTTAAGCCAAAGCCATTCCACATCTCCTGTTCTCAGGTTTTTACTTTGATTTTGAGAATAAAGTTTAACCTCACTTGAAGGCTTTCTCTATTCTTTAAAATAAAATAAGGAAGGTGAGGGCAAACAATGAGATTCCAGTGCAGAAGGTAAGTGCCTCTGGAAGGGCTGTGGCACAGAGGCACTCAGCCTCCTTGTCTCCATTTATGCACAAAAGCCAACTATGGTCCTGTTGTGTTTGTGCTGATTTGTCTTACCCAAGAGCAGATCACAACAGCTCCCATTTTCCAGTTGCAGCAAAATCCAGGGCAAGAGCTCTGTAATAAAAGTTAGCAACTGAAAAACTTCAGTTATGTTTACATGGCATCAGAGGGAGGCAGGAGTGTTCAGAACCCAGTATTCACCAGGCACATTTCTGATAAACAAGGTCTCTGGACAGAGCACAAAGCTATGTATATATATGACTTACCAACCTTGATTTTAGCAAGTTACTCACATCCTGCTTTAATAACTTGTCGTATGAAAAAGAAGGGAAAAGTTGTGGGTGGAATTAATTCTATAACCATTTATTTTCATAAAATCTTAATAATTGGAAATAGCACAGTTCAAGAATGGAAATATTCTGTATAAAGGAACACAAAGGTTGTTCACATGCATAGGAGTTTGCACAACAAATAAGAGGTGATGTAGCATGCAATTACCAGATCTAGGGGTGTGGCAGTGACAAGCTGTTTTACCTTTGTTCAAATTAAAGCAGTTTGAGTGTATCACCAAGTATACCTTCATCACCAATGAGGGACTGAGTGAATAAGCCGAGCCACTCAATTTCCTGCACGCTGCGATAAATGCATTTATTGCTAAGCTTGTAGCAACATTATGCTTTTACTTTTCCAAATGGACAAATTATACATCCTGTGAGTGAATTGCAAGCCTCCCTTAATACTAGAGCTTTCTCACTTCCTCACTTCACTGAGCTTTGCCAACAGCAGCAGCAGTTTATAATATATACGTTAACACAGACTCTGCACGTCCATACCCTAGATATGTAAAATCTGAACAAAAGCAGGTAAGGAAGGACATTTGTCCACAGTGATTTGTCATGACAGAGTAAAAGGACAAATTTCCCAAAACATGATGAAGATTCTGTACAAAAGTCCATTGAAAGAATCAGTTTTCTGTTTTCAGAGGAGTTCTCCACCGGGACTGTCTCAGAGGGACGTTCCGACTGCTTTTTCTTCTTGCTGGAGATTCTACTTTCCACTCCCGTGGCACGGATGGTCTAGGAAGAAACAAAGTCACCATTTATTTTAAAGCATTCCAGCATTCCTTCTTACTGTGGTCACTGTTTCAGATCTAGATTGAACTTACAGTTTCTCTGGTGATGTCAAACAGATAATATCTCCCGGCTGCTCCTCAGCCTCTTTATTCTCTGCAAATAATTCACATATTTTCATATTTTTAAAATGCCACAGATTCAATCATTTGTGTTTTTACCCTCCTTGAACTAGAACCACAGGTTAACTTGCCTTGAGCAGAACCAGGTGTGTGTGTCAAGCTGATGTAACTGACCCCAGCACCAAAAGTCAAGTCATTAATGGTCTCTGAAAGAAAAAAAACACAAGCCAGTGGTCTGTGACACAGCCACAGCTGCAGCATAACACTCAGGTGTTACATAGAATAGCCATATCCAGTTAACTGCAAGCAGTTAAGCAAAGAATCCCTCTTTTTCAACACAGATCTCAGTGCCCCTCCAAACAACACTCCGATCTGATGGGCCATCTGTACACATCAGGTTCATACTCCTGAATTACAGCCTTCCCTGTATATGGAAGAAATTAATTGACATGTGGGACCTCGATGGTGCACCTCCTTGTCCTGTGCTAGATGCTAGAGCCACACCTCCCATTGAAGTTTAGCCATCATCCATGACCACAGCACCTCATGAACTGCCCTCAGCACCACAGCCAGACTAGTTATGTAGCCCAGCCAGAGCAGAACGTGGGGCCCTTGAAGAATGACAACGGATTTGAACAGCCCTTCCAAGAGGAACTGTCTGCAGCCAGACAAGGAATCACTTGACAGAGAAGCTAGGTAGAATTTAGCTCGCCTGAACAGCCCATACTTGTCAGCTGTCGCTTTCCTGTCATTTATCTCAGGAGAGATGTCACAGTATTCAGATTTTTCTTCTCTCAGCTCTCTGTTTTATGCTCCTGTTTCCCAGAAACCTTCACAAGGAATTACAGTAGAAAATGCTTTATTGGGTAGGAAATGGAAGCTCTGCTAAAGAACTGCCATCAAGTGAGGCTTCCCTTGTAATCAAAGAAAGGTATTATCTTCAAAACATGTGTTTATGTATCACAGTGAATAAATCTACACTTGTCCAGACCCACTCAGCCATTCTCAAAGTAACGAGCAGGAGAGATAAGGAGGTGACAGACAGGGGGGACAGACTGACAAAACAGTTGAGTAAGATAAAGAGACAGCTGTTGTTCTCAAGTACAAAATGATTTACAAAGAGCTGCATCTCCAACAGTTTTAGAACAATGCACCTGGGGGAAAAGAAAATGTTTTCTTTTGATTGTCTGTCAGCCTGCAAGACCCAGCAGCACCATGCAGATGGTTCAACACAAGTAACTCAAGTGATGATACTGCTTCATACAGTTTGTCTCCCCACCAAAGGATGCATGCTGCCTTGAAACTAAGTAGGAATTCAGCCTTAGTACCACTGCAGATTAACATTCTTCCTCCTTGCATGCCATATGGTGCTTATGCTTAAGAGAAACAGCCATGCAAGCTTCCAGACAGAGATATGGCAATTAAAGATTTCTGCTCTCTAAAAACATATCCTAGTTTTTTTTGCACAAAGATCATTGCCTGCTGTTCAGTCAGTGAGGAAAAACATCGAGACAGACAAATCGAGCCAAACAGCAGAGCATACAGGGAGGAGAAGGGCCAGATTTTCCAGTGGATGCACATCACTGCCACTGCTTTGCTTCTGCCTGCTCACGGATGTCAGGTATTTGCAGACTGCCACACAGCTGACTGCCTTATTGGCTACGTGCTGCTGGCTCTCCTGTGTGCATGCAGGTCAGGTATTTGCACAGACACAGGCAAAAACACACACATAACTGTATTTCTAGATTTTCCCTGCCCCACAAAAATTTACAACTGCCTAACAACTGACCTGTCAGACACTCAGTTGGACTCCTAACTTAATTGGAATTCACTCCTGAGCAGGGGAGGGAGTTTAACGTAATGAGAAAGAGACCTAAAGGAGTTCAGTGTGCCCACAAACTGACATAAAGGAAGGAAACTCAGCTTCATTTGTAAGACTGCAGAATGCTGTCAGAAAAAAAACATACCAAAAAAGCATAGCCTTTGAAGGTCAACTTTTGTGAGATGGCAATTCAGCTGCAGTGGATATAAACACAGCAGACTCACAATTTGTGTACTAGAGATTCATCATTATGTATTTTCACTTTAATGCCTACAGCAGAGTAGAAAAACACATCATTCCTTCTCTACAGCTCAGTTCAGCTCTTCCTTAGGGCAGAACATTCAGAAATGACTGTGCAGGTTATTAATCCTCCTTGAGCAGATCTCCGTGGTATCTCAATTGACACAGCTCACTGCTTGCTCTAGTGACAGAAGCAGGTCACAACTCACCTGGGATCTTTTGTTTGGACAAAGGAATCTCCTGTTGTACAGCTGAAAAGGACTGAACCCTGAGTATTTCCCCCTACAGCAGGGTTCTGTAATTCAGTCTAGAAGTGCTAAGCTACACTCTGAGAATTAAGGGACAACAGAATCCTGCATGGCCTGGGCAACGTAACCTGCTAAGGAAGGACAACATGCCTTCTCAGCAATCCACAGTTGATAAAAGAAGAAAGGACAGTAGGTTTGTTGTTATTTTAGGCTGTTGAAAGTGTTTTCATGCACTGATTCAATACTGTAACACCCTGTGACGTATAAATGAAAACCATACTGCAGTGTCCTTTCCCGTGAGATCTTCAGTTTCAGAGTAATTCTTATTTACCACAGCCATTTAGATAAGTACACGATCTATAGCTAATCCTGACTAGTTTTTTCTGCTCTTCAGGGAAGCCACACATTGCTACCTCTCTTAAAGAAGGAGCACTCAGCCCAGTTTGGAAAGGGTTCTGTTGGGTTACTTACGTTCTGGAGTGCTGATTGCACGGCCCCCCACAGGACTGCGTGCTCCAGTAGACAGCTGATTCACACTTTGAAAAGAAGCTACATGCAACAAGAAAATAAGAATAGAAATGTTCAGAGACCTCATGGGTCTAACAACCAGGCTGTGTCAACTAGACCCAGGCCAACAGTGAATAAGTTTGCAGCAATCTTTCTACCTTGCTGGCTGTTAGCTGTACTTGGTGGAAATGATTGAGCTGATAAAATCCCCCCAGCACTCTTGCTGCGTTGCTTGCTTCTGGCCTCTACTGCTTTCCAGGCAGAGTTCAGGATGGCAAGCGTGCTCAAGGATGCTGGCCTACAGGACAAAAGACAGACAGTAACACTGAAGTGACTTATTGCTGCAAACCCAGATGAAATGCATGACATGAGGGAGAGTCCTGCTCCCTCCCAACTCCTTACAATCTCAGGCACCAAACTTAACGAAGACTTCACATTTATGACTTTCACACCACTAAGAGAGAGTGGACAAACAAAGGAATAGCCCTGTAGAATTGCAATCCCTAATATAAACAGAAACCCATACCTGTGACCGTATAAGGGCTGCTTTGGAACATCAACTCTAGGTGTAGTAAACTCAGAAGGCACAGAGGAAGGAAGCGACCCAAGGGATGAGAGCTGCCTCCCACTCACAGAGGACTGGGCATTATCACTCCGGGCACCAGAAGGTAAGGGCATCTCCAAAGACAGAGGCTGCTACAGAAAGAAAGGAAAGAGCAAATCTAAAAACAGACAAGTGCAGACAACTCTAGATAGGAGACATACAGAACAGATTGTTGTGTGATTGAATCCTTTGTGTAATGGATGTAAATGGTTACTAGGGAGAAAGAATTCACTGGCCAAAATTATAACAAGCAGCAAATAGTAAGTTTTGATGTGTGTATTCTAGTTTAAGGTCTATATATAGGTGCTTCTTTAGGTCAGCAGAAAAAGAAAAGAGCTGCCAGGGTAAAAGTCATCTCATTTTAAGGTAGGTATCTCAAATAATTTGGGACAATTGAGCCAAGCACACTGACTTAAAAAAAGATCTGCATGACTAGCACAGATATAAGTTTCCATTCCATTTAAGTTAAAATCAGCCAAAATAAACCCTTTTCTTTGTGACCCATTTATCATCTTTATCACTCCGGAAACAGAGATAGAGCGTGTAAGCACAGGCAGTGGAAAATTAGACTTGTCCTTCCCTTTAAATTGAATTATTTTTACACTAATTGTTTGCTACTTGTCTTTGGCAAACACGTGTTGTTTGCAGCTTTTCTAATATTAAATTACTTTGAAACTAAAGCTTCTGCCAGCAAATGCACACAAGTATGAGAACATTACAACATCCATATGTATGGAATTTGGGTGTTATTTGTGCACAGACTTTTGTACACAGACTTTTGCAGAGCAGACAGAAGGCATACAGAGTTAACAGCCCCGCCAACCTCTGCTTGTGATGATGAGATGTGCTCTTGGTCTGACTTCTCCTTGTCCAGCTGCTCTTCATACTTCTTCATATCATACTCCAGTTCTGCTGCCAGCTGCTTGTCCACAGCAAAGAATTCTTTGATTTCATTTCTGTAGTCTTGCATCATTTCCTGAAGCAATAAAGAATATTTAAACCCTTTCAGAAATCTCTCCTGACTACTGATTCATGTCTCCATTCAGATCACAGCTGCTTTAAGTGCAAAAGGAAATACCAGTTGGTAGAGCAGAGGTGTTTTTAACAGACTAAGAGTTTAAAATCCAATTTGTACTTCAGAACATGAAAAACCTTTCCAGCATTCAAGCTTTCTGCCCACATTCCATGAGGAGGCTCACACGTAACACACTGTGAGATCTGAATCTAAAATCCCTCCACCTCCTGCTTTATTTAATGCAGTGGCAGTATCACAACATCGTATGCCTTCCAAATTTCCTTCTAAGAAGGCTGTTCATTCCATTACTGGTTATGTATCTAACACATTAAGTTAAGAGGAGAAAAAAAAACAACAAGAGAACACTTCTCCTTACCCGTAAGTAGTTCATAAGGTCCCTAAGAGCTGGGATCTTCTTCCGCTCCATCAAAGATTTCAGCTCAGTGATTATTGGGATGATGTTTTCTATGAAATTCCTCTTTTGAACCTTTGTTTAAACAAGGCACAAACAGTTACAAGATGCAATAAAGGAGAAATCACTCTATTGTTAAATGAATGGCTTAAGTGAAAGGAATTATGCTTCATAGCAGAGGAATTATCACAATTAAGCCCACTTTTATACTACATGCATGTGGGTTAGGCTTTCAACCTAAATGGAAGTCTTTCAAGATGTATTACTGAGTCCACTTGCACACTGAAAGCAAATTGTCTAAAAGGTGCACCAGAACCCATTTAGGCTCAGATGCTTTAACAATAGGAGATTGTGGAACAAATTTAAACAAATTAAAGCTGCTTTATTTTTTTTAATGGGAAATGCATTTCTGATCAGTCCCACTGACCCCTCAAGTACAACAGTCTGTTACAAATCCAGCCTTAACATCTTGTTTTTACAATACACAGCGCTTCCATACATGCCCTCAGGGCAGAGTGAATCTACAGACAGAGCCTGAATAACAACACACATGTACTGTATGTACTTGGCACCATTACATTACTTGAGTAATGCTTGACAAATCTTTCCAACACAGAAAGCTAAAACTCCTCTCAGCACTGTGGACAGTCCTCTCCCCACCCAGATCCAAGTGCCATTCACCTGTGAGATGAGCTTTTTTTGTGCTGCCTGCATGACAGCATTGGCCATTGCCATTTCATCTTCATCAGGCTGAATGTCTTCGTCAGGTTTTGATCTCATAGTTGACAGCTTGATTTCTTTGCAGCTAAGGATAGCAAACGTATCTGAGAGGAGCTCACTGGCTTCCATGTCCAATGGAAGGACCCCATCCACAAAGCATGCTGGAACAGGTAGGGAAGAAGTAAAAATCACTTTAATGGAAAAAGCAGTGCCAGGAAAGACAGAAAGATAACACCACAGGACTCACAGCCTTATGGTTTTGTTTTTTAAACGAACAAGCTGTTTGCCCAAAGGTGGCCCCTACCCAGGACGCTGTGGCTGATCTTTGTTGTAATGCTGAACCTCTGTTCATCTGTAAAATGGTCCAATAGGAACTTGTAGATATGCATCCTTTTCTCTTTGTTATCTTTTCCTCTCAGAGAGAAGAGAGTCTTTGCCCTGTAGTAGAGAAAGACATTTTATATGGTTAAGTCACATTATGCGATCTCACAAAAATAGTAAGACTTAAAATCAACAAGGAATATCTGCACGTCACTTTCAAGACCCATAAATGTGCTAGGATACCACACACTCCCACAAATTACATGCAGAAGTTCTCCCAGAAGTCTCATGGAGAAAGCAGAATGCTTAATTTAACACCATCTCTTTGAGCTGTTTTCCCCCATTGCATACATAATGTTAAGTGCCACAAATGCCTTCTGCTACCAAAGGCTGCATGGCCATCATTCAGCACTAAGGAGGTAGAAATGTGCTCAGCTGACCTCTCACTCTGTGGGAACCTGTTGTACTTCTCATGCTTCTCATAGCTATTGAAATGGAAGATGCATTCAATGAAGTGCTGGGAGAACATCACTGGATTCCTCTTCAGCAAGAGATGCACCAAGCAGAACTCTGCAAACCTAGAAAGGAAAAAACTTACTAGGCAGCTTCTAAAAGTCACCCCTGAAACACAGCAGAGGGTCACAAGCAGTACAGGAAGAGCTGTCCACTCCCAAGTCTCCCTCAACGCCCCATTTAATTCCTGCCCAGTTATACCTGGGTTTGAATGACAATACTAACTTATTGACCTAGAACTTTTTCATTCAAGAAAATCACACTTCCCAGCATCCACAGTACTACTCACTTATTTCCATTAAAACAGAGACAGAAATAAATTTGAGCATGAATGCAGGCACAGTGTTTTCATTACCTTTATGAGTAAAGTCCCTGAAACACTGCACTTTGCAAAAAGTTAATCACCAAAAGTCTGGCAGGAGGTGAAAGTCAATCTCAGGCTTGAAGAAAGTACTTTTATGTAGATACAGCCTCTGAATACAGATGCAAAGAAAAAAGCTACCAACGAAATAGGAGTGTGTTCCACAGCTAAAATTCATGGAACAAGATGCTGCAATGCCACCACCTACTGGAAAGACATTTTTGCATACTAAAAAAGAGAAGAGCAGGTGTGAACATGCAATGATAGGTTGACAGCCCTGGAAAGACCAAACTTCAGTTTGGATGTTCCAGGCAGAAATAAGAGAAAGTTGTCCAAGGCTCATTTGCATCCGGTATCAACACAATCTTCCATCCTTGGAGGAAAGTGCCTCATATTTCCCACAAAACAAAACAGCTTGAGACTTTGAAACATACAAAAACTTCGTGAATGTGTACTTATGAACAGTGTGCACAATTCTTCTGCTATGTCAAAGTACTACAGAATGTAGCAGAAAGCTTAAAAAGATAAGGCATAAAGAACAGTACATCTCTGCTCTTCACCACCTTCAGTATTTTACAGTATTTTACCTGGCAATATCTGGATTTGGATCCACCAAGACACTAATGAAACGGAAAAAGAGGCAGTCCTTCCATTTCACAAACTCTTCCTAGAAGAAAAAGGCACATAAGTTAGCCTGAACCAGGAAAAACTCATGCGAATCTTCACAGAGCAGCCAGGGCAGTATCTGATGGAGCCTGACAGAATATACACTGAGAAATAAACAAGCTATACAACTTCACCACTATGTACAGAAAATAAACCTCCAAAAATACAGTTCTAGGAGATGCTTGAAGCTAAATAAGCATATAGCATCCAGGTTCACCAGACAGACCAATAAAAAAGGAGAATCAAGAAAAATCTGCTTTCCAGTGCCAAAGGCACAGATGCTCTTCAACACTGTTTTCAGAGCCAAACACACTCTGAATCTGCTTTGTTTGGCTTCACATGAACACTGGAGGGGCAAATATTGTCAGCCTCTCCACTTTCACAACTTTAAAACAATAAGCAGAGATAGAGGAAAAAGGTGCTGTGATGCTCAGTACATTCATTCATACGGGAGCAAAATGGAAGGGAATTCACAGAAACTAAGATAAGAAAAAGAGATAACCACTGAATAAAAATAATCTTGTTATCCAGCTGTGCTAAGGGTCATTGATTTTTGCCCACCTTGACAGAAAGCAACAAAATGCACGTCTGAAGTCTTCATAAGTTAAGATACATTACAGCTGTGCTCTAGAATCAAGTTATAAGCAATACACCTCTTGGTCAGTGCTCAGCACAATAGAAGAGGACCTCTGTTTACCTGCAGAAGGTTGGTAATCAGAATCAGTGTCTGCTTCCGAATGAAGGGATGTGGGTCCTTCAGACACAAGGAAATGTTGGGGATGTATCTGTCCACCATGGTGGTGTAGCGGATACAGAGGTCACACATAACGATGACAACGTTATTGCGAACAGCCACGTCGTGTGACACCTCCAGCTCTCGAGCCAGAGCTGCAATGCATTTCTTTGCCAGATCCTCATGCTGCAAACACAATTTACCTGTGAGATAGGGATGAGGCTGTCAGTGCTGCGAATATATTCTTCCTAACCTCGAGTCTGAGATGAGCCAAGAGAAGAACTGGAGTAAACAGGTGAATAAACATGAAACATATGCTGATACTTGACGAGCAATCTGCACCACCTCTCAAAGAAATTATACTTCAAGGAGTTCTTCCAAACTCTTTTTAGACCTGTAGTGTGGGTCTCTATGCCAAACTCCCTCCTTCACAGCGAACTATTCCTGTGTACAAGGTATTATTCAAAGCAGCTAAAAAGAACAGCCCCAGCTGTCATAGGCATTGCAGGGAGACACCCACCTCTAAGAGCATTACTAAACCAACTTAAAATAAAATAGCCTGCATTCTAACATCACTTCTTCCTGTTTCTAAGCTTGGTACAAGAAGTATTAAGGTTTCCAAAGCAGTTAAGGAAAGAATTATTCTGTCTATCTGCAACAGATAGGAGATTTGCTCATATCTACAGTGGAGCTACAAAACCCAAAGTTTTACTTAGCACTCTCTTTTTATACTGGAATTGCAGATTTGTCCAGGTTTCTATCACAAAAAAGTTTGGTCATTCATACTAAGGAGAAAAAGTAACCACATATAGAAATTCTGATCTACACTGCACGAAAAGCATCAGGTTTTCTTCATCCTCTGTTGAGCACCCTACTACAAATTGGAAGATCTCTCAGCTAGACAGCAACCAATTCTGAGTACAAGGACAGCACATATGTCTGAAGAATACTATATAGGAAAAAATGCATTAACAGACTTGAAAAACAGTCTAATAGATTTTTATGGTTTGTGCAACTTGTTACCATGGATATTTGCATTGCTAAACACTACAAACAGAAGCAAAACAAAACATTGAGTGCTGCATCTATGTGTTAGAGCTGACATGGCTTTTGAACAGAACTTGAAGCAGAGAGCAAACAGGAAGGGTGGGAATGGGATATAAGAGCATTCTTTTGCTGCAGGACAGCACTTACCAAGAGTGATGAATGCATGAGCTCTGATCACTGGAGGCATGGCTGATCCTCTGAACTGAGACAGTGGTTGAGAAGCTGGTATTTCCTCACCATCAGGAAGATTAGACACTAAGAAAGAATGGGTCAGGAAGGAAAACATGCTTTCTAGGTAACAGCATTGTTCATAAAAGGAAAATTAAAGGCAGAAGGGAAAGAGCCTCACGCTGATCAGAAGAAGCCAGAATGGACTGGATCAAAAGAAAGATGCGTTTTTCCACTTTGGCTGGACACAGCTGTGCAACTTCACCTAGGAGGAAGAGGTGCCTCACCTACAGAAAGAAAAAGCAATATTGCAGACTAAGGGCCATGGCTGAGCTGCAAATTAAGTCAGCAGGAGTCAGCATGGTTACTTCTCCAAGAACAACTTACAATTCCCTCTGTCCTTTCAAGAATACAGCAGTTAACAAACAAAAAGTGAAGCTCTGAAACATAAATGGTGTGTGTGTGTTTAATACACTAAGCCTCCCCCCAGTATACTAACAACATTAAAATAAACTTTAAAGATCCCTACGCATCTTACAGACTTACTTTCCAAAGTGCTTTATAAAGGGCATGAGTGGAAAAGCAAAGGAAAAAACCTCATTTTATTGAAAATTCATGGGCCATCACATCCTTAGAGCTGTTTTTAAGTCATCAAACTGCTGAATGCTTCCAGGCCAATAGAGTCAAGATTCCATTGCCATACACAAGCACCTGCATCAGGATTTTCCTGTGTAACAGTTACTGCCATGAACTTAACAGATCCCTCATTTTGAGAGCATGCATCTCCTTTGACCAACCCACGAAGGGGAACCAAACTTACCAAGAGATCTTCCTGTAATTGCTCTGCTCCATCCTCTTTGAGAACTATATTTGAAATATAACTTTCACAAGTGGATATTAAATCTCCAAACACTTGGTTGAGCAGTTCCTGTTCCATAATAAAACAAAATTAATTAGGCACATTATTAACACCTTGGTTATGTTCTGTTTACCGTCTCCACACATAAATCCCCAATTTGAAAATCTTTACATGCATATGATGTGCTACTAACTCTTGGCTTGGGCCCATTAAAGAGGCCTAGAAAAATACAGGTATCTGCACCAGCTCTAATGTAGAATAGCCTGAGCTTATAGCATAAGCTTGTAGCTTTCAAGTGCAGCAAGCCTTAGGAATAGCTGATTGTGAAGGTCTGCTTTAGGAATGCTGTAAGTCGACAGAAGGTCAGCACAAACTATTTCAGCTGTTAAAATAAACAAAAAAAGCCTCTGAGGAAAGAACTCTTACAAATTCATCCTTAGCAACAGGAGGCTCTCCAGCAAAACTGCAGTACAATAAATAAGGCAGCTAAATAGAACAGACTTCAGTGGCTTGAGCTGGATTCTCTGTGCATAGTGAGACAATCAACCAACAGACTGGAGACAGAAGCTGCCTTCAAGACTCAGTCCTTACACGTGTGAAACAAACTATTTTAAAAGAAGCATTTTAAGTCACACCTGTGTCTTCTTTGGGACACCTGCATAGGCACAACAGAGCTTCTGCAGAGATTCCACAGCTGGGCTAATCACCTCCAGAGGACACTGAAACTCCTTCAGCCAGTGCTTGATGTTATCTGAAAAGGAGATGACACACAACATGGGGTTTTTGTAGGCCAAGCAACCATTCATGGAGAATAACTCTTAGATAGGAGACAAAAGTAACTGTGCCTTCCACTCTTCAGTTTATCAAGGCCACTCACCAATCAGCCTCTCACAGGTGCTTCTAGGGAGGTGCTTTGCAACATGACTGATGACAGACAGTACATGTCCTGTAGTATCATTGCTTGTGTTCTGTTGCCTGGAAAACAGCAGAGCAGAAAAAATTTATCCTTTGGAAAAATCACCAACCACAGCAGAAAAACCCATGCATCTTGGCTATGTTCTATCAAGGCAGACTTATCAAACCAAATGAAAACTCAAAAAGCTCAATGTAAGACTTGATGGCTGCACAAATCTGTGGGTTATTGCTTGCCTCCTAGCTGCAGAATGTGGTTGCTTGAATAAAGAATGTTGATCCAAGCAGCACTATGTCTGTGGAAGGACAGATAGTGCTCACTTGCTCATCTTTACCTCCATCTCTTCCCTGCACAATAGAGGAGTTCAAAGCACACACATACCTGCTGACAGTGTACCAGGACTCGATGACCTTGGAGTAATCCAGCTTGGGTGAAGAACTTGCCACCTTAGCAAGCAACATCCAAGCTGGTACAGCATGCTCTGTTTCCACATGAGACATCACATTATTGATGAAAGTAGAGGAGAATTTGTTCTGCCGGGACCAAATATGAAAAGCTTTGTTCATATAACAGCTACAAGGAAGAAAAGAAAAGAAAGCAAGGTAAAAAAGGAGAGAACAAAACTCTTGAGGTCTTGAACACCACTAGCAAAATCCAACATCTTTCCAGAATAGACAGTGAAGCACAAGGCTGCCATCACTTCACTTTCCTTCTACTCAGAATACGTCAGGATTTCTGCTACTTGTTTTATCGTCAGTCACTCTTTCTGTTAGCAGTTCTGATGGCTGCAGTGCAGATCAGTCCTGATGCACTACAGACCTGGAGTGAATGTGTCTATCAGACAGAGGCAACACCAGTATCAGAACAAATCAAGAAGATACTTCAACAACCAAAGGCCTGTACTAAAGACTTGCTAGCAGTTTTTATTTAACATCCTTAATGGGACAGCACCAGTTGCATTCTTCTGTTTAACTCTAGCTATCCATTTCACAGTGACAGATTTATTCTAAGATATATCAATCTGCAAGGTACTCTGAGGTCACGAAGTAAAGGTACCATGAATCTTCAAACTGTGTCATAAAATAGCCTAAATTAGAACGCTGACAGTTTTACAGATTGGTAAGGCAGCACAACCAGTATCTCATTTTCTATTTCTGAGCTATTATGCCCTGTTGACTAATAAACATACAACTGTCTTTAATCAATGTTGCGTCCTTGTCATACTGTGTTAGCCCATTTCTTCTGCTTCATCCCACAACATTCTGCAATCAGACAGAATCATTCTATTTGTCATAAGACAAGTAACATATTGTACATCAGAATTAATAAGAGGAGATCTTCTCCTCTCCTTCTATAGCCTCTCTTACTTCTCTCATCAGAACACCTCCATTTAACATTCCTGCTGCTACCAGCACATCAAGAATAGCAAGTGACATTCCTGTGTATGAACACCAGAGTTCAGGGAGACTGCACAGGTAACAAGAAGAGCAAATCAAAACACTCAACACAAAGCAAAACTGCACTCTTCTCACCAACTGCTGATGTGTATGTTTGACAGCTTCTCTGTCCTAGGAACTGGCAGAGCAACACAGGCAGCTCACAGCATGACAGCTGCCATCTCTAGAGCAATGTGCACTTTCATTGTCTACTTTGATCAGAGAGTGCAAATAGCTTAAAAAAACACCCCATAAATTCAGTTTTTTGCCCTACTACAATAGGTGGCACATGCATTTCAACTGTGACACTTATTGTTCTCTGGTCACACAGAGGATGGGAAAGCTGAGAACATAAGCCTATGCTTGTATCTTAGTCCTCTGGTCACTAAGCCATTTCCTACTGTAAAGGAAAAGCTGCATGTTCTAATAGGATTAAAAGTTTAATAAAATAATCTGGATTTTGTCCACGAATGCTAAGATAGTAAAAGCAACAAAGAGATCCAGTGCACTGGACAAAGGAGTGTTTTGGAAATGCCAGGAGAGTCCACAATGAAGGACAGCCACACTCACCTCAGCTCCTGGCTTTCTGAAGTCAGCAACGTAAGGAGATCCCATGCCAGCACCTGCTTTGTGTCTTCCCTCCTGAATTTATTGTAATGCTTTATGTGCTGCAACAAAATCTGATCAAGGCATTCCAAGGCCTTTTCTTGAACAGAACTTTCAGAGTCCATCACAACAGGCACAACTCCAGTCAACCATGCCTTGTGCACCTGGACATCATCGTGCTGAGCCTGAGAGAAACACACAATGTTAGAAACATCCTTTAGTTATTTTGTGGTCCTATAAGCACAGGTAAGATCAACAAAAGCCTAGAAGCCATCTATAAATTCATCTATTAACTTGAACAATAAATTACAATTAGGCAGTGGCATGATGTGACAACACATGAACCAAGAGAACATATTTCCCTGGCAGCAAAATGTACAGATGGTATCTATGACCAAACTACCTGGGTTAAATGTACTGCAATACTTTGTTTTGCAACCCTATAAATAATTATGAGTGTATCACAATAAAACTGTACTGCAGATGATTTAACACTAAAACCAGAGAGTTTTGATTAATACAAACCTTATGCTCCATGACTAAGTTACGAAACCTTTGAGAATATATAGAAGGAAAAACATAACAATGCCATCATCAACATGCTGTATCTCAGCAAAGTGATTCAGGTTTTTAAATTTCAGAAGGACAGCAACAAAAACATCACTTCCATGACACATAAATCAACAGGCAGGAAAAAAAAAAAGTGTTTCCAGCAGTTGAAAGCATCCCACATAAATGGCAAGTACGTGCAAGTGATGGCTTCCAAGTCAAAAGATAATAAAAAAATATAGAATTCAACACAGCCATAAAATGAAATCTGGTGAATGAACAAGTGATTTGCTGTGCCCTCACCCTCTTAACCTACACTGCAGCTATATCAGGTCTGGATAAGAACTGATGTTGCTCTTTTCCTCACCTCGAGGAGCTCTGTCACAGACTGCAAGGCCTGCTTCCGCACTGACACAGCAGGGTCCCTGCAACGGTCCTGCAGAGTGGACAAATCTTCTGCAGTGCAAGGGATTGCTTTGTGTTTCAGGATGTTTGTAAAAACCTGCAAGTCAAAAGCCAGCATAAGTTAATTGGGAATACAGGCCAGGAGCACCAGGCAACGAATCAAAAATAAATTAATCTCTAATTTAAGTCAACAGGGAATAGAATGTATCTCACTGAAAGGGAAACATAACATTAATAATGTCTAAGTACTGGGCAGAACTTGTACAGAATGCTAAGAGAACATCTTCTCAGTCACTCAGATTGTATAAGAAAATTCTGCATTGAGTCAATGCTACAATTCCCCTTTGAAGCCAACGTTTCTCTCGTTATGACCTACATCTTTCACCTGCCAATAAGAGGGAAAAGAATTGAAAACCTCACAACAGAACAGCTAGAAACCCTTAACCTGAGCTGTTCTCATTGTGATTTGACCTGGAGGGGAAAGACTAGGGGAAAGAGGGCTAACAGGGAGAAGGGCAGTCAACAACAGATCTGTATTCTATAAAACAGTGAAATTCCCATTGAAGAAGATCCCTTTTAAAGTTCACGACTTAATTTAAGAAGTTAAGCAAGAAGAAAAGCAATGCATTCCTCAAGATGATGCTAGATATAGCCCAAACTCTTTGCTAACAAGGTAGAAACAAACAAAGCACCTCTTATACCTCAGTTTATAAGGAAGTCGCTTAAGTTAAATGCCAATTGACATTTGGAAAGAGGCTCTTTTTCTAAATGATGGAATAAGTGAATGCCAGCAAAAGAGTACTAGAACATTTTTTCTTCCTTGCATTATTTACTTATCAAGAACTAGCAAAAGTGACCTTTTTAAGGACTGAATGCACTCAGTGGGAATAGCAAGAAGCTACAGCTGGGCAAACTTACATACAATCCACTGCAGTACTACAACCTAATTATTTGTTCCAGTGGCATTCTGTGTAATCATGCAGAACAAGAAATCATGCAAAGAACACCATACCTGGAGAGCAGATTTCCTCACAGTGGTTTTCTCATCCCCAGCTCTCAGTCTCAGCAGGGCCATGATTTCCTTTCCTATCCAAACCCAGGAGAAAAAGAAGTTATAACACCCACCCAGACCTCCCCCTGTACACTTTGCAATGCTCAGTTTGTTGCCCAAGACTTTCAGGAGCAAGAGATGATGACTGAAAGCACAGCAACAAACAGAAAGAATGCAGGCTCTCCTTTGCAGCTGCCATTCTGACAGGGGGAAGAAAAATCCAAGTTCTTTCATCTTGACAATAAATCATAGGACATACCACAAAAATCAAACGATACACCAAATTATTTTTGCTGTGTATCAAATGATCTGTAACTTCCAATTCATTTATTTCTGTATGTAAAAGGTATCAGGCTACCTTCAGAGTTGGAAAGTAAGGTTTCCTAAGGACATTTTGAACTCCCAAATTCAGAAATCTGTTACTTTGAGAGATTCATCTGGAGAGCCATCGTGTTGCCATTAAGAGAAAGGATTAGTCATTAAGAACCAATAAATATAGGGTCTAAAAGTAGGCTTTTTTTTCTTAACCAAAGGAAGCCAAGGGATTTCAATCTGCATGACTGGTGCTTTCTTAACAGGCAGGTAACTGCAACTGCGCCTTTCTCCTGAGAATAGCTTGACAGAAAAAGCACACAACCTTTTCTTTGCAAGATACTGCCAAGAAAACAGTCACGCTGCTCTTGTGGAGGTGACCAAATCTGCTAAAATGATCAATTTGAGCCAACTGTCATGGATTTCTATGCATAGTGGCACAGGAATAAAAAACCAGATAAATAAACGCTGAGTTCTAAATGGCTGAGAACTAGCAAGGGAATAGAGTGTTTATAGGCTGACAGGCACTGCATATTCTGTAGAATATACTTCACCCTGCAGATTATCCCTACCCTTCTTATCTTTGCCCTTGTGCATTTAGTGAGTTCTGAATATCCTCAGCGAAGATTTATTTTGCTTCTAAAATACGAGCTGTTTGGTCTTCATAGAAGTGCAAAATTAGCACAGGCAGAAGCCAAACAAGTGTGTGCCAGACAGCTTTGCTAATGCACCTTGACTGGCTCTGAGAAGCCTGTTTTTCAGCTATCCTCTTGAGCCTCAGACAGCCCTTTTTGATCCAATCCTTTGCTTAATTTGTTTTGCCAAGTGCCAAGCGTATGCTCAGCTGGGTATCAGATACAAAACCAGGCATCCTCTGCCACACAGAGTCTGCAACTGAACAGGGAATACACAATACCTTTAGTGGCCTGAAGGATATTTCTATCTTAGAGAGCAGATTAATGAAATTTATCAGCAAAATGTTTTGAAAGAAAGCTTTCAATAGAGAAGATAGGAGCCTGGTTCATGAAGATATGGAGAGATCCCACACGAAGAGCAGCATGAGAAATGTAACAAAGACACAGAGGCAGGATGTGAGCTAAGCAGTAAATTGAATTGTCAGCAGTTCAAGAGAGGTGAATAGCAACAACTGAGAGCGAAGATGCTGACAGAGGCCTAAATGTGAGGCTTCCACATAGAAGAGGAAGAGATTCAATGAAATATCACAGCCACGAAAGCCAACTTTTGTGCTGATTTCATGCCATTAAGAAATTAGAGCTAGCAGATTGACATCACACATCAGTCCATTTAACCTCACACTTTGCTTTTAGCATCAGCCAATACCTGGTGCTGCAGAGAATTAAATGCTTCCCTGCATAACAGTGCCAGTCAAAGGTGCTGTGTTTTATGCAGCAAAAATATATCCGTTCTTCATGCACTGAAGAAAGAGGTTTAATTACCCTTAAATCTATGGAGTTGCAAGTAATACAGCCCACATCAATTACCATTCTTTTGGGAAAGTACAAATTATCTGCTTTGCAATGAGTATTGCTACCACATTAGTACAAATGAACGCCAGAATTTCACAATTAAATGTATTTTCCAAATTTAAGTGGAAATAGCACTTCTGTATAGCAAGCATTTCCACCCCTTGATCACTTGTAAGTTTTTTTTAACAGCTCTACAGAAAGATCTCTCCACTCTTTGAGACATGGACAGTGAACAAATTTCAGAAAACATAATTTTAATTAAAGTTCTGAAAAGCTATCTGAAAGGCTGGTGTAATTGTGACCTACCATCAACCACGGCAGCATCACTGCTGTTCGTCAGCTCAATCGTTCTGAAAGTTGGTAAGGTCTTCAGTGGATGACTGGACATAGCTGGAAGAAAAGTTAAAAGCTTAAGAATAAAAAAGGCATACATTCACTCAACATGATTCACCATTAAAAAGAGAGCTTCACGCATGCCCCACATTTTATGGATACACATATTTTTAGGAAACAGCGTGCCAAGAAAAGCCTGAGACTTATCATAAGAGAATGACTCCACACCTTCAGTGAGCATCAAACTCGCACTGTTTGTGTTTGCTTCCAAGGCTGCATGGTCATAGCCTGCCAAAAAGAAATTAAAAAAGAAATTAAATGAATCGTTCTCATTCAGCATATTCTGTCACTCTGATTTTTAGGGTTTTTTTTTTTTTCAGGCAAGTGATCCAACCACACGATGCTGTGTGCACACTTCTGAACTGTGCCATCTGGCCTCTACCAAACCCAAGGGAGTGCAGAATGCCAATCACAAAGAAACGAATTTAGCAGAGGCAAAAGGCAACTCAAGATTTAATCAACCCTCAGACAAAAATTAACTTTAATTGTACAATTTCTGTTCTCAGTAAACATCCGTCAAAGGTATCTCACAGAGTGACCTATTCAGAACATGTACACAAAATAAGCACCTTCCAAATGTAAGGCTACAAGTAAGACACACATATTACTTTCCTTTATGGCAAACACCAAGGGTGCTCTGTGCAGGTATTACAGATCCTGACCACCAGTTCTACCGTCTCCCAGGAATTATCCCCCACACAGTTTGAGAAATATTTCAACCATGTAAATTACTGATAGTGCTTACTTTGCAGCAAGTCCTGTATACTATCCAAAGTAGCAGCAGCTTTCATTTCCAGACAGTGGGCAAAACTGCTTAGAGCTTTGCTACGAACTACAGGTGCCCTGTCTGAGCAGCGGCCAAACACCATGACCTGCACTAAGAACTTATGCTTCAGAAACCTCTGGTGATCCAGCGACAGGGAGGAGTCCAGGTTTCTCTCAGGCACGTCCAACAAAGCTAAAGCTACATCAAGTGCAAACACTCTGTAAGAAATCTGAAGAAATAAGCACACAAGGCAATTTGTTAATGTATAAAACAGATGTAGGTGTTACCTACTCAGCCCACCTGCCTCTAGCTAGCAGCAATAACAGCCCTATTCAGGACTGATACTAAACTTGCCATCTTCAAAGTATTACCGTAGCTGAAGCCTGGGACACTAAGGAGATGTACTTACTTTTGTGTGGAGTGAGTATTTATAAAGCCAAGCAATGAAGTCAGCAAACTCCATACATGGGAGTTTATTCAGCAAATTCACCAAAGCCTGAGCAGCATACGTGCGATAATCAGCTTTATCTGGCACCTGAAAAGCAAGAGCAGTTTGCACTGTGATATTCCAACGCTCTGTTGCAGAAGCCAGAAGATGTTATAGGCCTTAAGAGAAACATTTATTTAATGGGGGCAATGTGGCACATTCAGCAAGCACTGGGACAGCAATTCCAAATTCCTTGGTCACTGCTTCAACAGTCACTACAGACAGTACAAATCCCCCAAAGCAAAGGTGGAGCTTGATTAAATCCAGAAGCAATGTTTCTACATGGGAGTACAGATAGTTACCTCAGCAGAGAGCTCTCATAATCCTCATTTTCCCCTAATAAGAGGGTTAAAAGTAACTGCACGTTTTGGAAAAGTCAGAAATGGGACACAACTAATTGTAGCGGAGGTGGAGCAGTGTCAGCACTCTCACAGGATGTAACACAATCAAGCTGTTAATACATTTGACAAGGAAAATCTTTTCCTTTCCTTATAAAACACCATGGAAACAGATTTCCTAATTATTGCACTTACTGCCAAAGTTCTTCAGCTCAATATACACCAAAACTTACCGTACCTTGGTACAGATATGTTGCAGTAATATTCGAAGAACAGGGAAGGCAGCTTCCTTCAGCTCCTCGACTACTGCACTGCAGAGGAAAAAAACAAGCACATTTAAGTAAGGCTGTTTTTATAACAGCAAAAATCAAGTGTAGGGCATTCCTTTTGAAATGCATTTTGAAAGTCAGGAAGAGGGCATATTCAGGAGTCATGATTGCTGGTGTAGGAGACACGGTCAGAGAGCAAACCTTACCTTCTACACTAACCTGACATTTCAGACAGAAAACATTTCTTCCAATACTTTTCTACAAGTAGAGGGCAATATGAAAAGCTGCTTTATTCTCACTCTACTTACTGAACGCTGTCTGGGGATCTCTACACAAACTGTGTTTTTGAACAACATGGATCCTCACACAGGAGGATAACAAACAAAAGCAAAACATATCCTTAAGCAAGAGACAGCAAAGAGCTAAAGAGAAGTGACCTGCATGTTAATAGAAGGCAAAACACAGAAGGTACGTTCCCTCCACTCACTGTCAATTCACTGTGTAGCAACTCCTCATTTCCCCTCCAACAACAAGTTCAGTAAATTTAAAGAAATTTTAATTAAATCTTAATTGCGCAAACAACATCAAAGTCATTCTCAGTTTGTCTCATCCCTTTATCAACCAAAGAGTAAAGCAAAGGCAGCTAGAAGAAAAAGCAGACCTACCCAGGAAGGGTAGTGCCAGAGCTTTGTACTTCACCTGATGAATTTTACAGCCTGATTCCTGGCACTGATCACAGCTGATGTGATTGCAAGGACTGCATGTCTGGAACCTGCACCACCTTGCACCATTAGAATGACACTGAGGATTCGTTGGAAGATGCAGCGAAGAATCTGGAAGGGAAAGGTTATCTTCAGGTTCATCTTCAGCAGCAAGATGGATTTTCATCTATCTTGAGCAGAGCAGATAGATAAGCACTCTTAACCATATTTATGAAATAACTCTGAACCGAACAATAGCACCTGACAAACTATGACCTCTGGTGGAATAATGCAGGGAGGACCCAATAATACAAGAAACGTCTTTCCTAGTGTGTTTTACCACCACATGCATGTGAATGTTTGAAGTTTCCACCTTGCACTTCAGGGACCACAGCATGCCTCGTCATCCTGACACTCACTGAGCAGCCTAACGGGAGAGACAGGGAAGATGCAGCAGATCTGAAAGAGGGAGCTATTGGCTCTTCCTCATACTACAAATGTAAGACATTCTGAGAAGCTGCACTGAGAAACAGAGGTAGTTGAAATACACAAGGTTTCCTGGCTACTGAAGCTGGACAGCTACTAAGGCAAGTATACCAGGTTAGCATGTACTCAGCTCCAGGCTTTCTTGACTAGATGGCCAACAGCACCCTGGCTTCCTAGCTCAAAACTAGTTCAGATGGGATTATGCTGATTCCAAAGCATAGCAGTACATTCACACCCACAGTTCAAAAGCTTCATCTCCTAAGAGCAGCACACAGATAAGCAGGAGATGACACAGCATGCTTGATAATTTAACAAAATAAAAATGTAAAGCTGCAGACAGATTTCTGGTAGAACTGGATGTTGCATGACAACAATATTCTCTGAATTAGCATCAGTCCTGCTTATAATTATTTGAGCAGAACACTTCCCTACTTCCCATCATGCTTCACTGCACAATCCAACCCCACAGCACAACAGCCAACAGTGCTGGAGCTCCACCTAGCAGAAAACAAGAAAATTTCAGGCAAAGGCAGTACCTTGGAATTCTCCGTATTAAGAATCTGAGATCTAATGCCACTGCAGCTGTTCTTTGTTTTCAATTCACTTGGCAAGAGTCATTAAAGCACAGAACGTAATGCACATGAAATGCATCATCCAACAAGTCAAAGAAATAAGCATCGGGGTAGAAAAAAAGTCACAATCTTGTTACTGACCCAGCAAACATACATACAAATACATAAATACAATGTAAAATAAAAACATGCAAGCCAAACAACATGCAGAGAATGAAAGAAACATCTGCTTTTCAATAGAGCAGTGAGAACTCTAAAGATTTGGCCCAAATTTTACCTCATTTTCTGTGCCATGTAAAGGTGAACACAATAACCACAGTCCATGGTAGGCCAGCTCAGGGACATACTTGGCATGAGTAATGTTCCTAAACAAAGGAAGGCAGAGATATCTTCATCTGTCACGTGAAAAACATTTACTACAACTAAACATGGTCACTGACTGGCAAACATTCAATATTCACTAAATGTTGTTTACTGTTAGCTAGGTGGAACACATCCTAATTATCTCGAGTAAAAGAAATCAATGCTTTCATTTTGGTATAAGCAAGATAATAACAACACAAGCATTGAGGGCTTTACTTTTTAAAGCAATGTTTAAACAGTCAGAATCAATTGCTCACATTGTTGCTGAAAACTCAAACTCGCGTTCCACTGGCTCAAAGTTTGTCATTTCAACAAAAGTCTGCAAGGAAAGAAAGCCAAACTTAGCTAATTCACATGAGGACAAGCTGTGCAGGTCTGCTTGGATGCCAGAACAGAGAACATGAGCCTTTCTAGCTTTGAAACCACCACCCCTCAGTCAGAACAGAACATAAGCAGACTCCAAAGCCTGCAGGCTCAATACTTTGCATCTCTCCCCCAGCTACAGGGAGAGTTGATACCTTATAATGGAACACTAACTGCCCAGCTTGCAGTAGCCAGCAAATGCTAAGCATGAGGGACAGCCACAGAGCAGGCAACCTGCCTGAGCTTCACAAATAGCAGTCTATTTGGGGGAGCAGCTTATGAAAGGCAGCACTGCCCACGTTATGGCCATACAGTGTTCTGCACTGACTCTGCTGGGGGACATAACATTCTGCTCAAGGAATCTCATTACCTGCAGGCAGTTCTGGAAGCACTGAGGTTTTTCTTTTAGGGAGAACTTAGGTAGAAACCTTAAGAAGTTTTTTAAAAGAAGGAAGATCGCTTTGCGAATTTGAAGAAGATCATCTGTTGAAAAGTAAACGTTCTCAAGATCCTCTTCCTCCTCCTCTTCAAATACCTCTTCGATCTATATTGGTAGATAAGAGAAACAGAATCATCCCATCCCACAGCACTGACAGATCTCTCTTGCACATTTTGGTGCTTCCCGGAATTCCCAGGCTAGGTCCTGCAATACCTCATATCCAAAACTAGTAGCAAAACAGACAACAGGATGAAAGTTGGATACAAGAAAGCTCCAGCAGAGCTTATTCTCATTGCAGAGGTTTTAAAAGATAAAAGTCCTTCAGAACCAGAGACAGCAACCTCAGTTCTAATCTGACACCTGGAAATTCATCCCATAGTGATTTCCATTCTATTTACTCCATACTTTCCTTTCCTTGCTTGTTCTCAGGATTTCTGTGAAATCCTCAGTGCCACTTAGAAAAACAAACATACAAACACCAAAATTGTCAGCTGAGTACAGCTAACCACAGCACTTAGCCCTCATCACCCCACCAGTAAGGAAACTCAGCTGCTGTTTGTAACCCTGTTGAGTTTCCTGAAGATGATACCAATTAGTTTCTCCCTCTGCTACTGAATTGTCTAACAGCACATCAGACATACAAGCTTTATTTTTCTATTAGTCAGCAGCCAAAGAACTGCAGCTGATGTTGAATCATCACATCTCTAGAAATTCCTAATAATAGGTAGGGGATTGAGAGCATGGATCAACAGCTGAATAAAAGGTTAAGAGGAAAAAAAAAAACAAGGGCTGAAAAAGCAAGGAAAAGTATTACACTGACCTAGAACTGAAATAGCTTGCCAATGATTTGCTTGCTAATAGAGATCTGTATCTGAAGATTACACAAACATCTTACACTGGAGGTGCCATTCTTGTTTGCCATTCCTCTTCTTCTGTTTCTTCTTGCATTGGTCTGAGAGTTTTCAGCATGCACCTTCTTCCTCTTCCTCATCAGATTTTGTCCCTGAGGCCAGCATTTTGTCAGGGTTTGAAGACATTTATCAAACATCACGTCATGGAACATCTGATGAGCTATACTGCCTGTGAGGAAAAGGAAATGTGAGCAATCTTCTGGACACAAAGAGTATTAACCCCTTCCAAGAACAAACGATGCCTCATTCAACAATAAGGAGGTGAATCCCTTCACTCACCTGGAATTTCAAGCAGTAAGAAGTACAACCCAGCTGCATGGAGAGCATAAACCCTCTGTTGTGCATTGGCTCTTTTATTCAGGCCTGTTTGGACAAAGTGGTGCCACACAGCCACAAGGGCATTACGAGAGAGGTTGTTTTCAACAAACAAGCGCCAGATATTCTAAAAGAAAATATAAGAGCAACAGTAAGAAATCCAATAGTAACATAGCTCTCTACAAGGATATCCACAAAGAAAAGACCTTAATTAAATGACTGCAAGAAAAGTGTTTATTCAGGGAACAGACTAGTTTAAAAAAAGACTAACTAAATTTCTCTTAAATAAGCCAAACCATTAAAAAAAATCTCCTTCCATGTGTGTAATGCTATAATGTGATGTAAAGTACAGCAATAATAGCAGGGTGGCAAAATCTCGGGCTGCAGCAAATGAGGACAAGCCTAAATGCAGCAGCTGTGGATACAGAAACAAAGGAAAAATATTTGCTTACCTTTGGAAGGCCTCAAGTAGGCAGGGATCTCTATAGAGATACCTTGCCTCTACTGCTAACACTTAAATGAGCTCTGGGAAGGGGTGGATCCTGGCTCCACCCCTTCTGGTCACTCAGCAGCACTGCATGCACCTGAGCTCCCCTGGGTTGGCCCTGCCTTCCCACCAGGTGCTCCATCACTGCTTCAAGCTGTGACTCAGCATTTCTACTACACACGTTAGAATGCACAGGCAGAATGTAAGAAATTCAGGTAAAGTATGCCCAGAATCCTTTCTCATGCTCTATTGTAACAAACTACAGAAGAGGGCTGCTCTGAAAATAACACCTCCTATGTTCCTTCTTATAACACCTTCTTATGTTGGCCCCCAACAGCAGAGGCAGATGTTGGTGGTATGGTTGCAGAGGCTGAACCTTCCCATCCCAATTTCAGTAGACTGTGTTTGTATATATATTTTAACACACAAATTAGCTCCATCTAAAAGATGCCGGTGAGTATGTCAGATGAGAGCCTGATGGTAGAATATTGCTGTGAAATACAAGACAGGGCAAACCGAGCAACAGAAAGGCATAGAGCCTCTGCTGAGCAGCACAGCCCGCTGCCATCCATCCACCTCACCCCTCTGCTCTTGTCATCCCCAGTGGCAAACGGTGTGAGCGCCTGGTACAGAGAGCTGAAGGCGCGCAGCCCATCCTCTGTGATCTCCTCTTCAATGCGGGGATCCAACGGTTCCGTCTCCGTGAAATCCAGGTCCCAGACCGTGCTCACCCACACTGGGAGAAAAACAGGTTTAAGCAAATCAGACAAGCAGGTTTTAGGCAAACACTTCAAGCAAACGGAGAGCACAGCAGCCACACGGAGCGGTGGCTCAGGGCACCAACACCATAACCCCCCCAACGCCACCCCCCTCAGCGCTCACTGAGGCCCGAAAGCCGCACACATCGCCCCCAGACACCACCGCCACAGAGACAGCCCTTCCCATTTCCTCTCACGGTGATGTCCGACCTCACATCGCTCTCCCTTCCCCCCGTACGGCCGCTCCGGCCCCCAGCCATTACCCCACCATTACCCCACCGCCACCCGCTCACCCTCACGGACGTCCCGCAGATGCCACTCCGCCACAACGCGCGGCACTTCAGCCGCCGCCGCCATCGCGCCGCCGCGCTTCGAACTGACCAATCGCGCGCCGCCTCCCGCGGCAGCCAATCCCAGCGCTTCCGCCTTCAGCGCGCCTGCGCGCTGCGCGCACCGGAAGCGCGACACCACGGGGCCGCGCGGCGCACGCGCACAGAGGGAGCGGGCGGGGAGCGCGCCGCGATTCCCGGCCCCGAGCGGGCGGCGCATGCGCGGTGCGCGACCCGGGCCGGTGCCGTGCGCTGCGAGGCGGGGACGGCGCTCGAGCGTGGGGGGCTGCGGGGCCGCGCCCGCCCGCCCGCTCCGGGCTCGCTGCAGCGGAGCCGGTCCGGAGATCCCCGCCCCGCAGGTCCGCCGTGCCGCACCGGCATTCGCCGTCCGTGCCGCATTGCGGCCCCTCCGCCCCAGCGGTGAGCGCCCGCCGCCCGATCCCGGGGGCTCCCGGCCGCCGTCGGCCCCTCCGCGTTCCCGTCCCCGCGGGGCTCTGACCGCGGCGCCGCCCCCGCCGGCACGATGAGCTTCTTCGGGTTCGGGCAGAGCGCGGAGGTGGAGCTGGTGCTGAGCGACGCCGAGAGCCGGCGGCGGGTGGAGCACAAAACGGAGGAGGGCAAGAAGGAGAAATACTTCCTTTTCTACGATGGGGAGACCGTGTCCGGCCGGGTCATCCTCACCCTGAAACACCCCAACAGGCGGCTGGAGCACCAGGGCATCAAAGTGGAGTTCATCGGGCAGATCGGTGAGCCGGGCTGCGCGGTGGCGGGGCGGGGCGGCGGTTCCGCACGTGTACCGGGTGCTGAAAGTGGGTTACGAGCTGCACGGAGAATCCCCACGGCCAGCAGCCCGGCTCCTCGCTTGCAGCTCCAGTCCTTTTCCAGGTCGTCGTTCCCTTGTCCTGTTTCTTTCCCTTCTGCTCAGTCACTGATGCAAGCCCCTTGATAAATATGCACCGAGATGGTGTGAAATTCGGTGTAAAACTCCATCCTGCAGGCTCGGGGCTTGGCTGGAGGGCCTGGTGCTGACAGCTGCTTGGTGGCACTCTCCAGTCTGCGTCCATTTGCCACTGCTTTGGTTAATGCACGGCTCGGTGATTGCTGTGTGCCCATTGGTCTCCATGCAGCAGCAACACCCAGGGCAGAGGATGGCAAATCAGGTGGTTTTTCACGTGCATTTCACATCTCCAACTGCACCTTCTCCACTGTGCATAGCAGTGCTGCAGCTCCGCTTTCCTGAACCCTATGAGCTGTGCTATGCAGTGTCCATCTCCAGCTCTGCTTTGCTTTGCACTGATGAGCACGCACCATGGCACAGACGTGACTTTCTGTTGCTGGCAGCCAGCAGCTCTATGTGCACGTCCCCAGTTTGGATGTAAGCATTTCCTGCTTGCTTGGAGGCTGCCACACCCACTCCTCAATCTGATGGTGATTGCAGCATTTCACCACCGTGGCTGAGTTCCACTGAGATGTGGCTCACAGCATCGCTGCCCTGTGCTGATGCACGAACTGGGCCATGCATCTGTGATACTGTGCCCTTCTGCACTCAGGTTGAACCCCGAAAACACAAGCTGTACGCCTGCAGCCTTTGCACTGTAAATCACACGCTGTAGGAAATGGAACTGGAGATATTCCTGCTCAGAAATGTTTTTTCACTTCTTTTTCCTGGCCTTGTTTGTGCATAACGCCCTCTGTAAAGGAAGGGAGAGAGCTTGTGAATGCTGGCGTGCAGGTGAGCCTGTTGCTCAGAGGGAGCTGAAGGCTTCCTGCTTCGTTATGATCCTCGGTAGAAACGAGGCATGGACTTTCTGCTCCACTCCATGCTGCCTCGCATGCCTCTTTTCCCCCATTTTGGATATATTTGGAACAACACCCTTGAATTAATACGCATTGCCATAGGCAGCGTGTGCTCGGAGCTGCTGTGTCCTTTGGTTCTGCCCTTTGTGCTGGTTAAGGTGTGGAAGCTGTTATTGCTGATGGCACTCCTTGCATGCTTTCCATCTCAAAACAGCTCTCCTTCTGTTTGGACTCCTCGCTGCCATAAGGTTAGCATGTGTAAAACTTGAGTTACCAGCTAAAGGGTTGAGACAGGGGGTCACAGGGAGCGCAGCAGTTCCAGGCTGTGTTTTGGAGCACAGCCTGGGAGCACAGAACCAGCTGAAGATTTCAGTTCACCTGCAGTTACTGTGCCCTGAGCGTGCCAACCAGATGTTGGCAGGTTGGTTTTTAAACCTTTCAGCTCCAAAAGCTGCAATTGCAGCTTTTACCTGTTTGATGTGTGGAAATCTTTGAAAGTGTGGAAAACATCAGTTCTTTCTCTTTGAGCTCTCAGGTGCCAATTTCTGCCCTCCTGAGCTGGCAGAGAACGTAGCAAGCTGACATTCACCTCTCCTTACCTCCTGCATCGTGTAGGAAGATGATATTCATTCCTCCTTATGTGGCACCAGGCTTTTCCATGTCACATCAGTGAGCATTCCCCTCTCAGTGGGCACATGTGGCACTGCTGCCCCACAGCTGGTCTGTGTGTGTCACCCTGCTGCCCAGCCTGACGAGCTCCATGGCACTTCTGTGTACCTCTCAAGGAGCAGAGAACTGAATCTTGCTGCCGTTCCTGAACTCTTGCAGTCCATCCCAACAGCCTCTTCTGCACAGCTCAGTGCTGATGGCGAACCTGTGTGTGCAATTCAGTTTTTGCTTTCTCATCAGAACGTATCAGATTGGCTGAGGCTTGACTTTTGGGAAGGACTGCGTGGGTGTCTTGCATTCACACAGCTCACTCACAGGGCTGGGAAGGGCAGATTTCATTGATGGTTATGCGTAATACACAGCTGCAGATGAAAATTGCAGAGTTTAAGTTGCTGTTGCTCTAACTTGGGAGAGAGAAGTTTGTTAAGTGTAGAAGGAATCGTGCATTAAAGTAGGAGCCTGCAGTCCTATGTCATGCAAGGAGCTTGCAGGGCAAACTGGAGCAGTGTGACCACATGAGTTGAGCTGGTTTGAGCAGTGCTCCCAAAGGTGAATGCTCTTCCCTTGTTGATATTTACCTGTTCTCTAGGGGCTGATGGACACACACGTTTGGTTGCCATGCACTTAGCATTGCCTTAGTGCAGAATCAGTGAGGATGTATGCTGTTGTTCTCTGGTGTGAATCAAAACTGAAGCAGCACCAGCTGGAAGCCTACTAGCACTCCATTTTTGCTCTGTCACTGCTGTTCCATAGAAGCAGTGGTGTTTTTCCTTTCATTATAGTGCCAGTGCCTTTGGCCTTGAGTATAAGGCTGTGTAGGAAATGATGAGAGCGGATGGCACGAGCTGCTGAGTGTTTGTTGGCCTTCTGTTCTGAATGCACTGCTGTTCTGCTTTGAATGATGCCTTAAGCACACATAAGAGCCAATGTCTTCTGGCTTAAAGGTGATGCAAACTGTAGGGCTGCTCTGAGTGTAGATGAGCGTGGGAAAGGTTAGCAGTAAATCAAGTAAATATAGCAGGAACCTGGGCTGGTACAGAACAACTCTTTTCTTATTCCTGACTTTGGCATCACTCTATGAAGAACTGCATTCAGTTCAGGCATCCATTAATGTGTGTAGCTCTGCTGACTGGTAGAGCGAGCAAATCACTAATTGTGCCTAAGCAGCAGCTTGATTTACTGGCTCAGTGGTTGCCACACATGAGGATCTGGCTGTCCCAGCCACAGTGGTGCTCAAGTTCTGGCTTACATGGAGAGCAGTGAACAAGTGCAGTGTGCTGCAGCCATGGGCTCCCCCCAGTAGTTTCTCTGGGCAGTGGTACTGATCTGGATGTGAGCGTGGCTTGTAGCTGTGAAATCTGCATATCCTTGCTGTGTGTTGCTCCTTTAACATGGACTTGAATCTTCCTAGAGCTCTACTATGACCGAGGAAATCACCATGAGTTTGTGTCCCTGGTGAAAGACCTGGCCCGTCCTGGGGAATTCACTCAATCACAGATATTTGACTTTGAATTCACACATGTGGAAAAACCTTACGAGTCCTACACGGGGCAGAATGTGAAGTTGAGGTGAGTCTCCTCCCTTTGTTGACCCCTATTCTCAGTTCTGTGCAGTGTGCAAATGCTGACCGTAGTGATACTGGAGTGCAGCATCCCTTCCAAAATATCCTTGTGAGTTTATAATGTGACTCCAAATGAAATTTGGTGCTCTGAATTGTGAAAAGCTGTGTCTGAGGGCTTTTATAAGCATACATCAGGCTCAAAGGAACCTGTTTAGCCCCATTTCTGTGACAAATCAGCCCCTTCTGAATCTACCTAATATTTTCCAATTTACTTGGTAATTAAAAAAAAAAAAACACAAAAGAAATTATTTGCTTTAGTCCCCAGCAGGGACATTTTCAACATCGTGTAATCAGTCTTGTAGACTTTAATTGTGCTCTATATGCAAACAGATGCCTTGCTGGTATCTCGTTCGTATGTTGCAAGCTGTATTTCACATCTAGGTGCTCCAACTGACTTCACATCCAGTCACTGGCTTCAGAAGGTGGGCTGGAAAATTGTGAGATCTGCAGCCACTGGAGACTGATGTGATCTTACCTCTTGCAAAAGGACAATGGTTTTCCATATGTGCTGTGCAAGCTCTTATTCAGATCCCCAAAATGATACTTAGGTAATTCAGGCTCACAAATGCACGAAAGCTTAGAAAAGTCTTAGAACAGTCTGTTATTCCATTTGAAAATTCCCTTTTGCCTTTGCAACCTGTTGGCTGCTCCAGAAGCCAGGGTACTTTGAGGAAAGATTTAGGTTGGATGTCAGGGGGAAATTCTTTACAGAGAAAGTGGTGAGGTGCTGGAACAGCTGCCCAGAGAGGCTGTGGATGCCCCATCCATCCCTGGAGGTGTTCAAGGCCAGATTGGATGGGGCCCTGGGCAGCCTGGTCTAGCATTAAATGGGAAGGTTGGTGGGCCTGCATGTGGCAGGGGGGGTTGGAGATTCATGATCCTTCAGGTCCCTTCCAACCCAAGCCATTCTGTGATTCTGTGATACTGATAAGCTTATTTGGATAGCCCATTCAGCCCCGTGCCCCTCCCTGCTTCATCTCCATTACTGCCTATGCAACACT